CCCTGCGGCTACTGAGAATTTGACTATTGCTGGCCAAGGAACAGTAAGTGATCCAGCTCAAGTTGAACATAAGAGAAATGCTTTCATGGGAAGCTGTAAGCATCGGATATGGCAGGCCATAAGAGCATCATCCGCTGCACCTTATTATCTTGATGATTACTCTGATGGTATAATTTTGCTTATGTTTAAAAAAATTAACTCATGGCAAATCCTCACGAGCTCTGTTTCTATGGACGCATGTCATTGTCATCTTCCCTGACTCTTCTCTCTGTTTAATTTCAGATGTATACCGCTGGCAAGATGGTGCAATTGTTGCCAACAATCCTACCATTTTTGCCATACGAGAAGCACAACTATTATGGCCAGATGCAAGGATTGACTGCATGGTCTCAATTGGTTGTGGTTCTGTACCCATGAAGGTATACTAAAGGATTGCCTATTATGATCAAGACTGCCATCATTTTTCAGGCTTTAAAAGGCCTTGAACATGCTGTTGGAACTTGATGTATTCATGGATCACATTTGCTTGCCTGTTCTTTTCCATATATTTAGATTGGAGAATCTGGAAATGCACCTTCAATACAGTTCTTAACTAAAATGTTGATTATGTGATACTCATAGAATTTTGGTATTATTTGACAACTTAAGTCAGCTGCAAATTTGTTCGTTATTCTTAATGTGTCATAATGTCAGGGGGTTCCCTTGGATCATAGCATATTTTTTCAATATTCTTATCTTCTGCTGTTAATTCTGGAGTTGAGTTCACAGTCTGCTACTTTTTAAAAAAATAGAAAAATACCAAATTTTTTAAAGAAATTAAACGTTGAAAACAGTGCATGATATTTTATCGCCAAGGTCTTACTCTCCATTGCTACTGGAAGTTTTCGTTAAGGCAAGATAACATTTACTTCAAACCATGTTACTTGAGTGTTCAATTTATAGCTGTTTCTGCTGTTTTTCCTGCTGTGTTAGGTCCGCAAAGGTGGATGGCGTTATCTTGATACTGGCCAAGTGTTGATAGAAAGTGCATGCTCAGTTGACCGGGTGGAGGAAGCTTTAAGTACATTGCTTCCACTGCTTCCTGATGTGCACTATTTTCGCTTTAATCCAGGTGAAGTTACTTTACAATGTTGCCTGAGGTGAAATATTACAAGCTAAAGATTGGTTCTTTTCCTTTTGGGAAACCTTATTTCCCTAATTCTTTTCCTGAACTTTTGGAATTTCATAAACAATTCAATTTTTAGGTATCAGCCAGAATTAAAGAAAATGAATTAGGAGTATGATCTAGTCTTGCACTGCGGTGATATTGAGTTATAATTTTCTTCACATTCTTAACATGCTTTCTACATATCTGGGATGCAGTTGATGAGCGATGTGATATGGAGCTAGATGAGACGGACCCTGCTGTCTGGTTAAAGTTAGAGGCTGCAACAGATGATTACATTCAGAACACCTCTGCTGCTTTCAAGAATATTTGTGAAAGATTGTTGGAGAGGCCACATGATGAGAAATTTTCAGATAAAAAGTCCAATCAGTTTCTCAAAGCGAAGAATTCTAAAACTGGTGTGTGTGGAATCATTTTTAATTTCTTGCCATGATATTCTTTTGTCTCAGATGGATTGAACTTTATTGGATTCAATTTATTTTCAGATGAAAGCAGTCCTTCTTTAGGTTGGAGGCGGAGCGTGCTTCTTGTCGAGGCCCCAAATAGTGCAGATGCTGGAAGAGTCTTTCACCATGTTCGCTCACTAGAGTCATTTTGTGCTCGTAACGGAATAAAGCTCAGTCTTTTTAATGGCATATCAAATACTCAGAAAGCAACTCCAGGATCAACTTTTCCGACACCTTTTGCTTCTCCATTGTTCACTGGGAGTTTCCCTTCAAGCCCTCTCTTATACAGTCCTGATATTGGGGCTCATAGGGTTGGTAGAATTGAGTTAGTTCCACCACTAAGCTTGGATGGATTACAATCTGCAAAAACAACCGTCTCACCGCCCGAGTCTCCTCGAAAACGTCGACAGCTTTCGTTGCCTGTTCAATCTTTGTATGAGAAGCTAAAGAATTCCCCTCAGGTTGGAGTTGTGCATTTGGCTCTGCAAAATGATACATCTGGCTCTGTACTGAGGTAAGATATTCCTTATTTTTTGGTTACTTATTGGAAATGCTGTTTATCATGCTAATGTCATCAACTTCTACGAGATAGTTGGCAGAATGATGTATTTGTGGTTGCCGAACCTGGAGAACTAGCAGATAAGTTTCTGCAGAGTGTCAAATTCAGCTTGCTGTCTATGATGCGAGGCCGCCGGAGAAAGTATGCATCAGTCATCTCTGACATCTCAACCGTTGCTGATCTTGTTAGGTGTAGGCCATGCTTCCAAATTGGGGGTGTAGTCCACCGTTATATTGGGCGTCAGACACAGGTTTGTGCGGACATGATGTCTGCCATCCTTATTTTGTTATTCTTTGCTTTCAGAAACCAAGATTTATGAATTTGCTTTGACGAGAGGGAGTTGCTCGGATGGTAAGCACCCCTCACTTCCAACCTGAAGGTTGCGAGTTCGAGTCACCAAGGGAGCAAAAGGGGTGGGAGCTCCTAGGGAGGGTAAGAAAAAAAAGTGAATTTGCTTTTGATCAAAGGAGTTCATGAATTTCCTATTTTTTGTCTTCTGAAGGTCATGGAAGATGACCAAGAAATTGGTGCCTATATGTTCCGCAGGACGGTTCCTTCAATGCATTTAACTTCAGAAGATATTCGGTGGATGGTATACCCTCTGATCATTTATGTCATTCAGTATTGCATCTTTTTTTCATTGCAAGATTTTATGTGTGAGAAGGAACTTATCTTTTCCAAATGATGTTATATGGTTGGTATCATTTGATTGAACAAGTCAACACCAATCTGGTTGGGTTCAAAATATGACAAATGAACTTACTTGGGTTCAAGTATCTGTGGCAAGGATAAACTCTTCAGCACTCAGAGGTCTTCTGCAGATAAAGCTCTGCAGTGCTGATGCTCCCTAATGGATGTGCACAGATAGCGCTTTCCACATATTGCTTTTATCCTAAAAATTGAATTGAATAAATTTATCTCTGGTTTCATTGCTTCATCTGCATCACAAATTTAAGAGGCTTGTTCATTACACTACACATTTTTGAATGTATACTTAAGGTTTACTACCAAGACTTGGTTAATCACTTGCTATACTAAAGGTTTACTATTAAGACTTGGTTAATCACTTGCTCTGTCATTCATCGTTTAAGTAAATTGGGTTGCATTTCTTTCATTTGTCATGATAGAGGGCTTAATACACTGTCAGTGAGTATGTTGATTTATTTCGTGTTATCTCTCCAAGACCTGTGCTTGTGACCTATTACTCTATGCGTACACATTTACCCTAGAAAATTTGTTAATCCTTTTAGTATATTTGTTAAACCTTCCAGGTTGGAGCATGGAGGGAGAGAATTATAATCTTCACTGGTTTCTATGGCCCTATCCAACCTGTAATCAAGGCTTTTCTAGATTCAGGAGCAAAAGCTGTTATATGTCCTTCCTCTGAGCCTGATGAAGTGCAGTTGTCTACATTTCACGGATCAGGTGATTTTAATTCTTTCGATAATGGAAAGTTTGAAATTGGCGAAGAAGAAGCAGAGGATGACGATACTGAACCTACTAGTCCAGCTAGTGATTGGGATGATAGTGAACCAGAGCAAAGTGAAGGACGCTCTCAATTCTTTTGGGATGATGATGAGGGGGAGTTGTCCCAATTCATATGTCAATTCTATGAGTCTCTTTTTCAGGGTGGTTCAAGAATAGGTGCTGCATTGCAGCATGCTCGTGCCTCGCACCGTAGCCTAAGATATTCATGCCATCTTCCCAGCATACCATAGTTCGTCGGTTGACTCATACCATGATAGTCTCAAGGAAGGCGCAAGTCAGCCAATGCTTTTGCTGACTGCATGTTGCTTGATTAAGGCAATTTGCACGATCTCTACATTACTCCATACTTTGTAAAGAAGACGTATACTTGTTCAAGCAAAGGAAAAGGATTGCAGAAGAAGCATGGGAAGAGAAAAAAGCAGTAGAAATGAGTAATAGTTCCAAGAAGCTAGAGAAGCAACCAATTTGAGGCTCTGAAGTCAGTTTTTTTGTGTTCTTAGTCACTGATGGATGCTTGTTTTTCTTTAGGGACCAGTTTTGCAGAATTTTCCTTGTAAGTCATTTCAGATTGAGAAAGGTTTTGAGTCCCAATAAGTAACTTGTATAGGAAAATTAATTTATTGGATAAAGCATGGACAATTTTTTTAACCACCCTTATCCACAATGAAGATTTATCTGCCTTCTTGCGAAAAGCAGATTCATTTCTTTCTTGTTCTTCTTGGACAGTGGTTGATGGTGACAACACAATTTGAAACTGATATGCTATTAGAATCTGGTGTTCTCAAGTGGTGTCTGCAAATTGTAAAGGAGGAACCTATGTGATGTTGTGCTTGTTAAACAAAAACTAGTTGGGACTTGGGATAAACTCATGTGCTCTTGTGACATCTTATTTTACGAAAATAGAGACATTAAGGTGAGGCTTAACGGTCAATGAAGTGGGAAACTATTCAAGATAGGATTCAAATAATCTCAGTAGATACACAAATCATTATGTGATCTCTTTCCATTCCATCTTTCAAGGTTTGGATGACAGAGCTATTTACTATTTCTGCCCATTGATAACGCAAGGTGATCTCCTTTCATTGAAGATAGGCGTCTGATTGCGATTGAGTAGATCTCAAATTGGTCCGGCCATGAAATTTGATTAGATTTTTATCAAATTTCCAAAAATTAGTCCCGTCATTTTACTAATTTCTGGGACATCTCTTAAACACTACTTAAAAAACTCAAATTTTCAAGTTTGAACTTCAAAAGCTATGACCAAACCGAAAGTATTAGTTGTATAAGTACATCAATCAAATTGCCTAGGATAAATATAAGGTCTTTTGGGATTAAAGCAACAGCTGGTAAGAAATCAACACCAAATATATTATTGATGAGTCCATTTCATTGTCTGTTGCTCCGATTTGGTAGAAACAGAGTGAACTCATTTCATCTGAGTCATAGTTTAGCCACTGCTACTAATATTCTCGACAGCAATGACAAGATAATAGCGACCCGAATATCAAATTGCAACAATCTACACCATCTTGACCAAATTTACGCCCAGGTAATCCGAAATCACTTCTTGGAGTTGTACCCTGTACAATTCCACTGGAACAACATTATTAGATCATATACTAGGCTCAACTCCCCTAGCAACGCTCTACATGTATACATCACTATGTCAAGAACTGGTGTTCGCCCAGATACTTTCACGTTACCCATTGTTTTAAAGGCGATTTGTCAGGTTCTGAATTATGTTGTGGCAAGGCAGCTCCATGGGATTGCAATAAAGCTCGGATTAGAAACTAATATGTATTGTGAGAGTGGGTTTATTAGCTTGTACGCTAAAGCTGGTGAATTTGAGAATGCACGGAAGGTGTTTGAACAAAATAGTGAAAGAAAGTTGGGGTCTTGGAATGCTATTATAGCGGGGTTGTCACAAGGTGGGCGTGCTAAAGAAGCCATAGAAATGTTCTTGGAGTTGAGAGAGAGTGGGTTGCAGCCAGATGATGTGACTATGGTTAGTGTGACATCTGCTTGTGGTAGTCTTGGAGACTTGGATTTGGCTTCTCAATTGCATAAATGTGTCTTTCAAGCGAAAGAAATGGAAAGGTCTGATCTTTTGATGATGAATTCTCTTATTGATATGTACGGTAAATGTGGGAAGATGGATCTTGCTTATAGGGTGTTTTCAAGGATGAACGAAAGAAATGTATCCTCGTGGACTTCTATGATTGTTGGATATGCAATGCATGGGTATGTTAGAGATGCGGTTGAATGCTTCCATTGCATGAGAGAGGCAGGTGTTAGGCCTAACCATGTGACATTTATTGGGGTGTTGAGCGCTTGTGTACATGGTGGGATGGTGAAAGAAGGAAAGTATTATTTCAACATGATGAAGAATGAATATGGTATTGCACCCATGTTGCAGCATTACGGGTGCATGGTGGATTTGCTTGGCAGGGCTGGGTTGTTCGAGGAGGCAAGGGGGACGATTGAAGGGATGTCGATGAAACCGAATGTTGTGATCTGGGGGTGCCTAATGGGGGCTTGTGAGAAGCATGGGCATGTGAAAATGGGAGAATGGGTGGCTAAGCACCTGCAACAGTTGGAACCGTGGAACGATGGAGTGTATGTGGTATTGTCCAACATTTATGCCAGTAATGACATGTGGGAAGAGGTAAGGAGGATTAGAGCAATCATGAAGGAGCGAAAACTTGCCAAGATTCCTGCTTATAGTTTGTCAACAAGTTCATAGTGAGAGCTGAAGGTGGACCTGCGAAGGATAAATGATCAGAAACATTGCTCTCTCTAATAGAAGTGAGTGCACAAGATGGTTGTCATATGCTGCACCTCACAAAAGTGGTTCATATAGGAGCAATGTACGTATTTTAACGTACCCGTTGACCCTCAATTTTGATCCACTTAATTATTATTTTATTTATTTTTAGGTGAGAATGTTGATTCATTTCGAGCCATCTCTCCAAGAGATGTGCTTGTGACCTATTGCTCTATGCACACACATTTATCCCAGAAAATATAATGATTTAGAAAGGAGGCAGCACTAACTCCTCCAGTATTTGTTAAACCTTCCAGATTGTAGCATGGAGGGGGAGAATTATAATCTTCACTGGTTTCTGTGGCCCTACCCAATTTGTAGTCAAGGTTTTTCTAGATTCAGGAGCTAAAGCTGTTGCATGTCCTTCCATTGAGCCCGATGAAGCGCGGTTGTTTACATGTCAGGGGTCAGGTGATTTTAATTCTTTCAATAATGGGAAGTTTGAAATTGGCGAAGAAGAAGCAGAGGATGACAACTCGGAACCTTCTAGAGTCCAGCAAGTGCTTGGGAAGATAGTGAACCAGAGAAAAGTGAAGGACACTCAGAGTTCTTTTGAGATGAATATGATGATCAGGGGGAGTTATCCCAGTTCATATGTCAGTATTATGAGTCTCTTTATCAGGGTGGTTCAAGAATAGATGATGCATTACAACATGCTTGTGCCTCACACCAGTGCCTAAGATATTCATGCCATCTTCCCAGCATACCGACTACCGTAGTTAGTTGGTTATATCTGATCATGATAGTAGTCCCAAGGGAAGCGCAAGTTTGTGAATGCTTATGCTGACTGCATGCTGTTGCTTATCAAAGCATTTGCATGGTCTTGTGATTCCATACGTTGTAAAGAAGAACTGTACTTGTATATGCAATGGAAAAGGATTGCAGAAGGAAGAAAACATGGAGAGAGAAAGAGAGAGAAGTAGTAGAAATGAGTAATAATTTTGAGATTTTTAACTGATTGTTTATGTTCTGTCTTTGATGGATGTTTGATCATTTTTCTTAAAGGTTACTCTTTTGTGAAAAACAGGTACATTTCTTTGTTGTTCTACTTGGACACTGCTGGATGTTGACACAATTTAAAACATGCTATCACAATCTGGTGTTCTCAAGTGCTCTCCGTGCAACTTGCAATGTGTGAACAGCAATACATGAGATGTTAGTGCCTGTTACACAAAAACTAGTTTGGTTGACGTTGAACTCATCTCGTGACTTTATATTATACTAGATATAGGACCCCATGCCAGCACGGGGCCCAATATATATATATTTTTTATTTTAATTTATGTCATATTATGGAATTTGAGAAGTTGTTGAAATTTTTATATGATTTTTAAAATATTTTAAATTTTTAGCTATTGTGATTTGTAGTACTTTTTTTTAACATAATTTTGAAAATAATATTTATTATTCTGTTTGTTCTAATTTATGTGGCACACGCAGAATTTCAAATATTAACCCTTTTTTATATGTCTCTTTAATATATTAAGTTGTTAATTATTGTATTTTATAGTACATTTTGAACCTAATTTTTTAATAATATATGTTATTTGTCATGTCCCAATTTATGTGGCATTAATTGATAGATTTGTTGGAGTCGAGAGATTTATTTTGTTAATTATTGTAATTTATAGTTTTTTTTTCCGTCAATTTCAAACAATATATGTTGTTAATTGATAGAATACTTTTAATGTAATTTTTTTTTAAAAAAATATGTGTGACTCTCCATGTCTCAATTTATGTGGCACATGTAAAGTTTTGACAATTAACCAAAATTTTAATACATTTAAAAAAATATTTTTAAGTCGTTAAATTTTAAGTAATTTAAATTGTTGTATTATTTATTACAATTTATAATACTTTTAAAGTAGTTGAAATATTGTACTATTTATTATGATTTATAACAGTTTTTTAAAAAATTTATGTCATATTATGGAATTTGAGAAGTTATTGAAATTTTTATATGATTTAAAAAATATTTTAAATTGTTAGCTATTGTGATTTGTAGTACTTTTTTTTAACATAATTTTGAAAATAATATTTATTACTCTATTTGTTCTAATTTATGTGGCAGATGCAAAATTTCAAATATTAACCCTTTTTTATATGTGTCTTTAATATATTAAGTTGTTAATTGTTGTATTTTATAGTACATTTTGAACCTAATTTTTTAATAATATATGTTATTTGCCATGTCCCAATTTATGTGGCATTAATTGATAGATTTGTTGGAGTCGAGAGATTTATTTTGTTAATTATTGTAATTTATAATTTGTTTTTCGTCAATTTCGTCGACTATTTATTTTATTAATTATTGTAATTTATTGTTTCTTTTTCGTCAATTTCAAACAATATATGTTTATCATATAATCCATTTTATGTGGTACCAATAGAATTTAGAGAGTCAATTAAATTTTGAATATAAGTTTTAAATAATTAAGCTGTTAATTATTGTAATGTATAGTATTACTTATATTATTTTTAAATATATTTAAATATTATATGTTAGGTTTTTTATCCTAATTTATATGGCATTGATAGAATTGAAAGTGTCAAATAATTGTTAATTATTGTAATAGATAATATGGAGTATTTAAGTCATTTATAGTATAGTAATTAATATATAGTATGTAGTATTTAAGTGTTATATTATGGAATTTGAGAAGTTATTGAAATTTTTATATGATTTTAAAAATATTTTAAATTGTTAGCTATTGTGATTTGTAGTACTTTTTTTTTTACATAATTTTGAAAATAATATTTATTACTCTGTTTGTTCTAATTTATGTGGCACAAGCAGAATTTCAAATATTAACCATTTTTTATATGTCTCTTTAATATATTAAGTTGTTAATTATTGTATTTTATAGTACATTTTGAACCTAATTTTTTAATAATATATGTTATTTGCCATGTCCCAATTTATGTGGCATTAATTGATAGATTTGTTGGGGTCGAGAGATTTATTTTGTTAACTATTGTAATTTATAGTTTCTTTTTCGTCAATTTCAAACAATATATGTTGTTAATTGATAGAATACTTTTAATGTAATTTTTTTAAAAAAATATGTGTGACTGTCCATGTCCCAATTTATGTGGCACATGTAAAGTTTTGAAAATTAACCAAAATTTTAATACATTTAAAAAAAAAAATTAAGTCGTTAAATTTTAAGTAATTTAAATTGTTGTATTATTTATTACAATTTATAATGCTTTTAAAGTAGTTTAAATATTGTACTATTTATTATGATTTATAACACATTTTTTTAAATTTATGTCATATTATGGAATTTGAGAAGTTATTGAAATTTTTATATGATTTTAAAAATATTTTAAATTGTTAGCTATTGTGATTTGTAGTACTTTTTTTTAACATAATTTTGAAAATAATATTTATTACTCTCTTTGTTCTAATTTATGTGGCAGATGCAGAATTTCAAATATTAACCCTTTTTTATATGTGTCTTTAATATATTAAGTTGTTAATTATTGTATTTTTTAGTACATTTTGAACCTAATTTTTTAATAATATATGTTTGTCATGTCCCAATTTATGTGGCATTAATTGATAGATTTGTTGGAGTCGAGAGATTTATTTTGTTAATTATTGTATTTATAGTTTCTTTTTCGTCAATTTCAAACAATATATGTTGTTATTTGATAGATTTTTTGGAGTGGACTATTTTTTTTATTAATTATTGTAATTTATTGTTTCTTTTTCGTCAATTTCAAACAATATATGTTTGTTATATAATCCATTTTATGTGGTACCAATAGAATTTAGAGAGTCAATTAAATTTTTTATATAAGTTTTAAATAATTAAGTTGTTAATTATTGTAATGTATAGTATTACTTATATTATTTTTAAATATATTTAAATATTATATCTTAGGTTTTTTATCCTAATTTATATGGCATTGATAGAATTTATAGTGCCAAATAATTGTTAATTATTGTAATAGATAATATGGAGTATTTAAGTCATTTATAGTATAGTAATTAATATATAATATGTAGTATTTAAGTCATTTATAGTATAGTAATTAATATATAATATGTAGTATTTAAGTGGAAGGTGGTGGGGCCCACTTATATAGTTTGATAAATATATTGGATATTAGTAGTGATTTATAGTTTAGTAATTAATAATATATAATATGTAGTATTTAAGTGGAAGGTGGTGGGGCCCACTTATATATTTTATAAATATATTGGACATTAGTAGTGATCTTATTGGCACAATGGTAGTCATTCCTAGAGTCTTCTATAATATAGTAATATATGAAAATAGAGTCACAAGTGTGAGGCTGACCGATGATAAGACAAGAGTTCAAATTTCAATAGATATAAAATTCTTGGTGATCTCTTCCCATTTGTTCAACGAGAGGTAGTAAGCATACATCACCTTTATTAAAAAAATAAATACACAAGCAATTTAGCGATGTGTTTTTAATAAGAATACTTACTTGGTAATGGTTTCTTTAACTTAGTAAACATTGCAATCTTAGGTAAACGTCGCTTTAAACAAACTAGGATTAGTGCTTACGCCATTTTTATTTTTAAGTGCATGATTAGGTTGTATAAGTACATCATTCAAATAACCATGGATAACTACAAAGGTTATTTTAAATTAATGGGGCGGCGTAAACATGATAATCTTTTCCAAATTATCCTATGATTATTTGCAAAGCAAGGGTTAAAAAAAAGGCCTAGACATTGATTGCTAAGGACCACAGAGGTATCCTCTGCTGTCATAGACATGATTAAGTTCATTTTTAGCAATAATTTAATAACAAAAAAAATAAATTTTCTTTCTTGAGGTTGATCATGATGACTAACTTGTGTATGAACCAATAAGTCAGAGAGACAGGAAAAGGTAAAATAAATAGTAATTTATATTTAGGCGTATGCTTTGGTTGCAAGTTTGTTGATGATTACATCTCCCATCCATCCACTGCTACAATTATGCAGAGCCTCACGCTGTCCACTTTCAACAAAAAAAAAAGAAGAAGCATATGTCTATTAAACACTATCATTAGGCATTAGCACTATAGACAAGTTGCTTCCTTAATGCAAAGTTAAAAATACCAACCAATTCATTCTTCACAAACAAGCCTTCCAACAATCTCTGAATTTCATCTTCATTTTTTAGCGAAAAAACATAATGTTATACAGAGCTAGGAGTATTACTAGTAGGTTCTCTGATAAAATGAGTACAAGTGTGCCGGTTGAAGTAGGCACAAGGGGAACTATAGGATCACTTTTGAAGAAAGAGATTGAGTATTTCAGAAAAGTTGAGGTGGATTGTTGTAAAGGGAGTTGTAATAATAAATCTCAGAAGAGTTCAGTGGAAATAGATTCATGTGGTGGTAATTCTAATTGGCCTAGTTTCGGGTTCTTGACGATGAAATGGAAAAAGAAGAAGAGAAGAGGTACTGGTGGTGCATTACCTGCAATGTGTTCTATGGTTGAAGTTTCTGAGAGTTGTAAGATGAATGAAATTCCAGGGTTCAGTTATAGAAATCTCAAGGTTGATTCTAAGAGATTTGAGGAAGAAATAATGCTCTCATAGGAGCTTTCAATTTTTTGTGTCAAGACTGAATTCTGTTCTTATTCTTTAGCCAAATATCTTTTGCTTTCTGATTGCCTTCAATTGCTTGGAATTTGAGAGAATTGTCAATCATCTGGACTTCTTGTTTTGGCAAGAGCAGGTAATACTTTGCAGTTAGACCTGGAAAGTTACATGTATAGACCATAGACGGGCACGTATAGAATATGGACTGTGTTGTTCATAAGCAGGAAGACTTGTCTGCATTACTAGGCCTAAGTATTTTGATTTCCAGTCAAAAGTGAGCAAGATATGAAACATAAAACATGTTTTGTGCAGATTAAAAGACCAAAAAACTCTAGGTTATTGTCATTGAAAGAAATTTGCAGTTTTCCACTTTATCAAATAGTGGAACTTGAATATAGTTGAGACTTGAGAGTCATATTTGATGTTTGTACATGAGGTGAACATGTTCATGTTTAATGTTTTCGCCTGCAGCAAAGAGATTTTTCTTGTAGTTCTTACAGATTTCATCTTCCACGTCATGGTAATTGTTCATGTTATTTATTCATCCTTTCTAATGTTTATGCATATGCAATTGTGGAAAAACAGAAACTTTGAGGCCACATGTTTTTTCATATCATTAACTCAAAAATTACAGAACCCATAGTCTGCAACAACCTTAGGTCTGTTTCTACTGAATCCACTTGAACCATGTATATATCTTACTCAAAAGTAACTGTAAGAAACATGGATATATTTAACACTATACTCATTCTGAAGTTACTAGCTCTTAGAACATCTTAGGTGTAGTATAAGAACGAGAAAAAGAGGAATGTCTAGTCACGCGTTAAACTACATTGACTGTTTTACATTATTTGTTATATATCATTTGAACTTTTGTTATATTAGCTCAAGCTATGTTAACTAAGGAATTCTGGCAAATGATGATGCTTAATTCTTACTTCACCTTCTCATATCTAAGTACATATTCAGCTGTTGTCTTCTGCTTGCTGACCCTGCTAATTTATAAAAAGAATTAGTAGCACATTTGTTGGGATCAATTCAAAAAAAAAAAAAAAAGGATCAAGAACAAGATATAGTTTCATCAAGTCCATTCAACGTTTTTGTACCAATTTTCACTATAAAAAACAAGGAATCACCATGTATTTTTTAAAAGCATTGAAGCTTGATTAATCCGGATAAGGCTAGTTAAAGTGGGTGCGCGCTCCCAAGCAGAACTTTTTTTCATATTCAGGGCTCAAACCCCAAATGTTTAGTTAAAGGTGAAGAGATTTTATCCATCTCACCACAACCTTCTATGATAATAAACATTGTATTGACAAACACTTTGAGGAATGTATTGAAAATTCCATAATTTTGAACAGCTTGCTAAGGAGAAAAACATACACAATAAGTTACATGTAAAAAGAGTACATTTGATTTTCTTGGTCCTTTGCTGCAAATTTCTTGTGTAATACATAGTTCTCGCAAATGTGGTGCGTTTGTCCAAAAGTCCCACATCTCCACACAGACTAAGCAACAAGGAATCTGTACGCAATAAAATGCCAAACGGGCCTCTATTCAAAGCATACCTTTCTCGGCCTTTTGGCTAAGATCAAGTGTAGTATCTGTTCTTATCAGTTTAATATCTGATATGTGGGCCATTGGTTCACACGATATTAACTCAATTTCTTAAGGGGGAGAGTTCATCAAGGTAGCTTGCTACCTGGGCTCTCAAGCGTCGCCCATGCGTTGCACTATTGCAAGGGCCCGGCGCACCCCACCAAATCAGTCTAATAATTTCAGCTTGCGACCCAAACTATTTGGGTAGTTTTGATTTTACAATTTTGTTCACTGGTGAAGCTATTAAAAATGGACAATTGGTCGTAAGTTAGAGTAATTCGCAGGTTAAAGAATTAAAAAGTTCAGTAAGTGTAACGCAGGTCTTCTAGTTCTGTTTTCAACACGTAAATGGATTATAACTTATATCCCCCAATTCATCAACAACAGTTCTCAATCTTAACTTTCAGTGTTACACTAAACTTTCTTAACCTATTGAAACACTTGTTCCGAACTCTTTTAACCAATAATGTCAACTATTAACAAGCTGGGAATATCTTCAGATAAAGCATTTAAGGTCTTATCAGCCTTTTAGGACCTAAGAGGCAAGAGCCATGAGATGTAGGAGGTGCTACTAGATTCTTAAGCGGAACCATATTATCATTAGTGACCAAGCCAGAAATATAAAACTATTGTTTTTTACTTGCACAACATAATTTTTTGATGAAGGGTTAATATAATTACGTCTTTGCAAGCACTAACTTTAACGATCCTAAGGTGGTCTCTCTCTATCTCGTACTTCCTTTGAATCCGAATTGGAGTAACATTCTCGGAAATTAAAAGTATAACCTGGTCAAACACATCTAGGACTTGGTCCATTCTTTCCAGTTTCTAACGAGTCCTGCTCCTTCAAATATACTTATGGTCTATCAAATAGGAGTTCTATTTATATTTCATAAATAAAGTTAACAATATGATTTTAACTCTCCTTAATCCATAGTCCATGATTTTGTCAAAGTCCAGACACTGATATATAATTCATAGTCCATTTTTTTCAATAAAATAACAACTCAAGTTTGGCGATGAAAATTGGGTATACGGCGGCATGTAATTGTCGACTTGGAATTTGTGTTTGGCTTTTGGGCCATGCCGCCTTTCAACCATAGAATATCCGTGTTAAATTCGTACATGATCCTTTAAGTTTTATTTTATTTATATTCAAATTACTAAACTATTATTTTATAAAAAAATAAATCACAACTTTTAATTGATTATTATGAAAGTCGTGAAACTAATTTTTTTATATTTTGCCGAAAGTAAAAGACTTTTTTGTTACCAAAATTGTTCGGAGTCTTGTTTTAATTCTTAGGTAAAATTGAATAATTTTTTTTTGTTACGAAATATAGTTTAGTGACGTTTTGCATTATCAGCCTTTATTAAAATTATTTTTTCTATGGTAAAATCAGCTGTTCACTGTTTGTATGTATCATATCATAATGAATAGTGAATTGAATAGAATGAAATCCGTCTCCATATTTCATTACAACTAATGGGATAATTTTTGAGTCTTGATAAATTTAAGGTAAGGTTTCAAAAATGGAATCCTGCTATTCTAGCTCGTGCAAGGGACTATGATATTTTTTCCTTAGCAATCAAATTGTAGATAAATTCAAATTGAATCTATTGATTATTCTACCTCAGTACCTCTAAAGTAAAGAGATATTGAAAAATTTACACATACTAATATACTACAGACTTCTAACTTTCAACGTGAATATATATAGAAGAATCATTAAGAATAAAATAAAAACATCAAATATAAAAGTGTATTGTAATATTTTGTCACAAGACACATAAGATTTTATAATATAGTTAAAATATGAAACGAAATGGCCAATAACTCCAAATGAAGTTGAATAGTTAGTTATCTTAATATTTTGTATTAGGAAGGTAAGAGTAAATAAAACTATAGAAAGATTTCCATTTATGATTTGATGGCATTGTTTTCATGTGTATGGCACCTTAAGCACGTTCCTTACTTGTTCTTTCTTTTATAGCATCAGTTTTTTGACTTCTTTCAATACAATAAGATAAGCGGAGGAGAGAGCTGAAATGACTAGGTTGCCACTTGGGTCGTCGCCGATTGACATCGCCGGTCCGGCGACTAACTGGTGGGACCACGTCAACGAATCCGTTCAGTGGCAAGATGGGATTTTCTACTCCCTTTGTGCTTCTTATGCTCTTGTTTCAGCCGTTGCCCTTGTAAGTTTCTCTTTTTCTGCTCTGTAGATATGTAAAGATTGGTTTTTTCTTTCCTTTTTGTGAATTTCACGATCAAAGTAGAGTTTGGGAGCTGAAATGGTGGAATTGATGTAGATGATTTATATTTTAGACTCCAACTAATTTGATGTTGAGATGCAGTTGATAGAATTGCAGTGTCTAGTTCATGTTATAAAGTCAAATACTTGCTGTTAGTTGGGTTTTTTTCGTAACTTCTGTTAGAAATGGAAAATCTTGGTTGGTCAACTGTAGGAATGAAATAATGAAGTTTGCATATCATTCAAGAATGCTTGATTACCAAGTGTAATTTAGGGGTTTTCATTAAGGCAAATTACCGGATATTTTGTGCTTTTCTATGTCACTATTAAAAGTTGGAGCAGTGGACTGACTGGTTAATCATACTTCTGGTAGGTTCGGTTAGACTGTTGGTTAAAAGCTACAGAATAGTTTTACTTAGGTTCAAATACAATACTTCTTTATTTGTACTCTCCTTTCTTTCCTGAGGATTCTGCAAGACTTTGGATGTAGCTATGTCAGAATTCCAAATTATTTCATAATCAATTATCATGTAGCTGCTTGTTGTTAATTTATCTATATCTTTAAAGCTTTGATCTCTTATCTAAGGTTTTGATGTCAGTATTTGGGAGTACTCCTTTTGTGTGTGCTTTTGGGGCTTATGACCTTTTCCAATAAGTAGATGAGTTTCATGGAAGGGTGTTTTTTCATACTTCGATTAATATATGTGTTTCAGATACAGTATTTACCTAATACTGCATGTGTAGAGAACTGTTTTCCTCGTGGTGCTTGCTTAGTTGGCAGGACTTTTGGTTGAGTCTATGAGTTAATTATGTGCAGATTCAATTAATAAGGATCGATTTGAGGGTACCCGAGTATGGTTGGACAACACAAAAGGTGTTCCATCTGATGAACTTTGTTGTAAATGGAGGTAAATCGGACTCAGATTAAACAACCCATCCAGCTCTTTTTTTTAATCTGGAATTTTGTTTTAAATGCAAATCTTTTGTTTTTCAGTTCGTGCAATTGTCTTTGGATTTCACAAACAGGTTTTTCTGTTCCATTATAAGGTAATGTGCTTTCTTGAAAAGTAACTTTTCAATTGTCAATATTTCTTCTTAATTATGTTCAGTTTGCTTTCAATAGAGCGCGACAATGTATGCAAAGTTAGTTGCGCGGACTCTTCACTTTTGATGCCGCACCCGTCTCGGATTCTTCAAAAATACACTACTTTTGGCGAATCCGACATGCACCCGTTGGCATTTTTGAAGAGTCCGAGCAACATAGAATTGCAAACCTGAATGTATTG